GATGCAGTGACCCTCCTGGTCTGGCTGTTTTCAGGGGCATAAAGTTACCATGGCTTATCCACACCCTAGCGTGTGTTTGTGCTCTGTTTCATTGTACTTGAAAAAGATCCCTCTGTACACTTGTGTTTATATATGTTCATCAGTGTCCATCTGCCGCAGATACTGGTGTGCAGGTTCTGTGCGCACACATGCTTACAGCTATTGAGACTGAAGGTGTGGAAAACGTGGGCCATACTGTGTATCTCTTTAAAATTTTGTGAGACAGACCGTTTTCCAAACTTGTGGCACCTTTTATATTCCCACCAGCAATACACGAGGGTTCCATTTTTCTCTACATCCTCACCAACACTTGTTATTATTTGACTTTTGTAAGTGATCATAGTTTCGGTATACAATGTTTGTCTCCTTTTGGTTTGTTTGCCTTTTGGGCAGCGCTCATGACATGACTGTCTCCTGACTCTGTGCTCAGGGATCACTCCTGGCGCTCCTTTGGGGACTGTGTGTCGTGCCAGGGATTGAACCTGGGCTGGCCGCGTGCAAGGCAAGCACTTTCCCCGCCGTGCGATCACTTCAGATCGGTCTTTATGAGTTGAGTCCACGTGGCAGTGGTATCTCCCTCGGTTGTTTTAAAACCAGTTTGATTTCTCTATCATTTGCTTTTCTGTTGTTTTCATTTCCTTCCTCCCTTCCCTTTGTTGCTGTTTCTGCAGTGATGGGAGTGGGGGTGGGGGTGATGCTCTCGGGGCAGTGCTCACCCATGTGTCTGTATTGTTTACATACAGGCTTGCTGCAGGCACATGCGTGCTGAGGTGCTTGCACCCTTTTAGTTACAGCGCTAACAAGGGGTCATGAGGGACTGGAGCAATAGAACGACGTGTAGGGTGTTTGCCTTCCACACAGCCAACCCGACTTCGATCCCCAGCATCCCATATGATCCCCCGAGCACCACCAGGAGTAATTCCTGAGTGCTGAGCCAGGAGTAATCCCTGGGCATTGCTGGGTGTGACCCCCCACCCCCCAAAAAATTATGAATAAAAACAAACTAGGGGTCACGCACTTTAGGACCTGGGACTCTCACATGTGCTCCATGTGCCTGTTTCATTTGCTCCCCCCCACCCACCTCCACCCCATCTTACTAGATTAAAACCTTTATCTCGTGTGCCGAGTGCATTCACACTGTGGTCCAGTCTCCATCACCCTTCTTCTTGCAATCCGGAAACCCACGCCCCTGACATAATCCTCATTTTTTCTGTGTCTTGCCTTCTGGCACTCTTCTTCTTGTGACTGTGAATTTGATGACTCTGGGTACTGCACCAAGAGGAGATGCCATACTATAGGCTTCTGGGGCCTTTTTCATTTAACCTGATAACCTCGAGGCTCATTCATGTTCTAGCATGTCTCAGAATTTCCTTTTTGGTGTGGGTTGGGGGTGGGGTACGTTGGAAGTGGTGCTCAGGGAGTCAGGCCCTCTCTTCAGAACATGCTCTGTTCGCAGCTTGGGGCCTCAGGGCTGGGGCTCCTGATGGGAAACTGCATAGACTTAAGTGTTGATGACCAGTAGGGCCACCCTGTGCAAGTCCTTCCCAGCCCAGAATGTCTTTTGTGTAGATGGACTGTTTCATCATTCCATTGTATGTGTCGAACACATTCTGCTTATCCGTTCAGCGGATGCATGCTGGTTGCTTCCACTGGGCTGTTATCAATAATTCTGCTATAGCAGTATAGCACTGTCCTCCCGTTGTTCATCGATTTGCTTGAGCGGACCCAAGTAACACTGTGAGACTTATTACTGTGTTTGGCATATCAGATACGTCACAGGGAGCTTGCCAGGCTTTGCCTTGCAGGCGAGATACTCTCAGTAGCTTGCCGGGCTCTCTGAGAGTGACGAAGGCATCGAACTTGGGTCGGCCAAGTTGGCCGCATGCAAGGCAAACGCCCTAGCCACTGTGCTATCGCTCCAGCCCATAATTCTGCTGTGAACCTGAGAATTCTCTCTGAGACATCACTTTCGCTCTGTTATTCTTTGTCCAGAGAGTGGTGGTAGGATCAGATGACAATTCTTCCTTGACATCTTGGGGCATCACCACGCTGTTTTCCGTAGAGACCGCACGGCTTTACTCTCTCACTAGGGTTACTCAACGTTCCATTTTCTCCTTTTCAACACTTGTTATATTTTCTTTCTCCATTTGATTTGATGTCACATTGTTATTTTATTCTCTCTCTCTCTCTCTCTCTCTCATTAGCATGGTGCGAGGGCTTGCTAATGCTCCTTGTCGAGTGCCCCAGCGGGGCATAGATGTGTGGGTTGGTGTCCAGAGTTCCATTCCATCGGTCTGTGTGCCCGGCTGGGAGCCTGCGGCACACTTTGGGAATGATTGCGGCTTTATACCAAGTTTCCAACTGGCCAGTGTGTGTCTTCCAACTTCGTTCTTCCTCAGGATTGCTTGAATATTTCCCTGTTGGAGACAGGAAATAAGACAAAGAGCATGTCTGTTCCCTGAATGCTTCCAGGGCATTTGGAAGGGCAGCGTGTGTGTGCGAAGCTTCTGGTGCTGTGTGTTTGTGGTTGCATGTGGATGTCTGCCTCACTGAAGTGGCTCTGTGAGGATAATCGTCCTGTCTGGGATAGCGCCTCATGGGAGCATGTGTTGAGTATGAAATTTTAAAAATAACTGAAGGAATAATAACAATGATGACAGTTACATACTGAAGAGGGTGACATACAGCAGATTTTCTGTTGAATTTTTGTTTGATTCTTATTTCTTTGGTTTTCGGGCCACTCTCACCTGTGCTCAGGGATCACTCCTGGCGGGCTCAGGGGACCCTATGGGGTTCCAGGGATCCAACCCCAGTCAGCCGCTTGCAAGACAAGTGCCTTCTCAGCGATATTAGCTTTCCAGCCCTGGTTATTATTGAGTTTTAGAAATAACATCACATTGTGCCTGATATATTATAGAGGGTTTCATGCAAAAGTATCTAAGAGTGAACTTGTAAATGGTGGCTAAGAACTAAATAAGGGGGACAAGCATTTTAACTTGGTGGCATTGATAGGAATGTTCCCTAGTCACTGAAATAGACTTTTGGTACTGGCTTACCGGTAGCAAGAAGGTGGAGAACTGAGTAGGAACATCTTCTCTTCAAGGCCTTGAATTCTCTCTCTCTCTCTCTCTCTCTCTCTCTCTCTCTCTCTCTCTCTCTCTCTCTCTCTCTCAAATGGTACTCATTATCAGTTTTCAAAGTTTCCCTTTACTCCATTCGACCTCAGAGGATCACTGAATTGTTTGGATTAAGAAGTTTGGAGTCAGCTTAGTACTTTAACTTGGTAGCAATGCAGAACTGGTTCAGAGGGTTCGAGAGTTAAGTTTGTTTCAAGAGCGGCGTTATTTGATTGTGACTTCTTGCATAGTTTATATTTGTTTGGTGGATGTGTGAATGTCTGAGCTAGGTCATCTGTGTTTGGATGCAGTAGGAAAACTTGGTTGAGAGACAGCTTAGGGCCGGAGTATAGTGATAGGGCACTTGCCTGCACGTGGCCACCCTGGGTACGATTCCCTAGCACTCCCTGCGGTCCTCCAAGCCTGTCAGGAATGAGCCCTGACCACAACTGGGTATGACCTCCAAGACACACACCCCCCCCCCCAAAACTCAACAACTCCACGGCATTGAGACAGCTTAGCGCTAGGAGTGTAAAAGGTGTGGTTCTGCTGGAAGATGTCACTGACGTTCCCAGATGGGCAGTCTGGGACTAGCAGGAAGGCGTGCGAGCAGGGAATTGAGAAGGGGACCACGTGTCCTGTCCGTGGGCTCAGACTTGCTGCCCTCGACATTGAAGTGCAGGGAACATGGAGAGATGAAAACTCGAGTTAACGTTGCCATTCGGTATCACCCTGATAATTACTATGGGAGCTGTCACAGTGAATGAACTGATGTAGGTGTGTGTGTGCCGAGTGCAGGGGTCTGTGCATGTATACGGGCGTATGTACATGCGGAGCCCAGAGGTGTGTTTGGTGGTTGCCATGCAGATCTGCTTGTTGGTATTAGTGGGAGGTAAATGCTGATTCTTGCAGCGTGTGGAGAATGGGGGAGTCAAGGAAAGACAAGGAGAACAGAGAGGCCCAAGAACTGACTGGTGATTTTCTGTATGTCCCGAAATAACATGAGTAATACAGGTAGCAGTAGTATCATTTATTGAGCGCTTACTCTACCAGACGTGGTTTGAGGCAAGCTGCCTCTTTATCCTCTCTAGAAGCCTGTGATTTCTTTTTTCTTTTTTTTTTTTTTTTTTGCCTTTTGGGTCACACCCAGCGATGCTCAGGGGTCACTCCTGGCTCTGTACTCAGGAATTACTTCTGGCGGAGCTCGGGGGAACCATAGGGGATGCTGGAGATCGAACCCGGGTCAGCTGTGTGCAAGGCAAATGCCCTTGCTTGCTGTGCTATCACTCCAGCCCCAGAGCCTCTGATTTCAGTACTATTAGATAGCCCCCTTTTATTTGTTAAAGTCTAGAGTGTAAAGTTAAAACTTAGGCGGTCTCATTGGGGCCAACAGACAATTGGGAAACCTTGTCAAAGTAAACCTGACGCTGAACGCTGGCCAGGTGTTCCCATCCACAGGTTTGGATGGGTCATTTCTCCCAGACAGGAACTGTAGAGAATCAGCCCCTCGGGACAAGCATTAATTAGCTGCAGTGTCTGTACTATAATGTTATACTGTAAGAAAAAATCTGCACATACTTCAGATATAGTTGTTTTTAGTTTTCTATGCATTTGCTTGCATTTATAACTTGCCGTGAGGTCAAAACTCTTTACATGTTGTGGCTCTTAATTTAAGTGAGGCTATTTTGACCCTTGGAATTCTTGAAGCATTATTCACTCAAAAACGACTTTGCAGAGTTTTCTGTTCAACTAATAGGAACTTTGTGTAGAAGTTTCAGTAATGCAGGCCTCGGAAAATCAGACTAGCCCAAATCAGCAGGACCTGACCTTGTCTTTTTCTTTCAGGGGATATCATTTTCAATGCCCAGTACCCGGAGCTGCCCCCGGATTTCATCTTTGGGGAAGACGCTGAGTTCCTTCCAGATCCTTCAGCTTTGCATGTGAGTACCACACTTCCTCGTGCTCTATTTGTTGAAATAAACATCAACTTAGCTTTTGACAAATGCTTACTAGCTCAGTTCGCCAAGCATTTGGCGTGTTTCCACCCCGTTTCCCTCTGTCCTCGGGGAGAAGTGCAACTTTTTATGTCCCAAAACCATTTATTTCTTCTTCCTTTCTCTGCAGTTTCAGACTCCGTAACATACTGGTTCAAGTATTTTTACTTCGGCCTAAAGAGACACGTTGAAAACATTTTCTTTGCTTTGACTTAATATTTCATGCCTGCAATCAATTTTCTAATGTTTACTAACACTTCCTCACGGAGCTTGTTAGGGGAATGCCTCGGCCCTCCCCAGGGCATGTTTTGGGTAGAGAAGTGAAAGTGACAGCCTTGGACTTGTCTTCCTTGTCTTCCCGTTATCTCAGTATCACTGGGAGGGGAGAGAGCAGATTGAGTGTTCAGCCTGAAGCCCGGCCCAAGACTTTGCTGTTGGAGCGAAGTGTTTCTGGATTGAAATCAGGCAGAGAAGGGATGGTGCTTCAGAGCACATGCGGTTTATATCAAAGCGACGTGTTTTGCTTGGCACCCGGGACAGAATACACACCATTTCGTTCAAAAGGTCTGACCCAACTAACGACAGTCTTCTTCCCCGTTCAAATTCAGTTTCACCAGCACGCCGGGATCATAAGAGGTTTTATTGTTCTGACAGTGTTCGGAATTTTTTTTTTCCCTTGGACTGTTTTTGGGTTTCATTAAGCATTTTGTTGTTGAAGTTTTGGTGACAGACTTTGAAATCTTGTCTCTCCCCTTTATTAAAAAGGGGAAGCATTAAGCAAGAAGTATCACCCGACCTAGAGTATTTTAGTTTAGAACACAGCTGTGAAAATACTGTTGGACAGAGTAATATAGATTTGTTGGAAAATTTTGGAACAATTACATACGAACTTTTACTTTAGATGATTAAATTGTGTTTGTAATATAAGTGAGGGCTCAGTAGATACTTTCTCACTGGTACTATAACTGAATAAAAGACTTACTAGAAGAAAATGAAGCAAAATGATCTCCTTGGACCTTTCCTGTATTCATGCTAATGGCCACAGTTTGGTTCGCCAGCTGAGTTTTGTAAGAAGAGCATTAGACAAGGTTTCCTAGCAGGACCGAGGCTTGGACTCATCCATGAGAAGGGAACAAAGTGTCGGGTGTGTCGAGTGTTTTGTAGGTTGATGACAGAAGTGCATTTGACGAAGCTGCAGTGTGTAGTCTGTATCATAGAAGAAGGTGCTGAAGTTTATGTTTGCTGGTGGACAGGCAAAGAAGGACTTAGATTCCAGGGAACCTGGGTGAAGAGGAGGTGAGAGGGTGGTTTGGGCTGAGGCTGTAGAATGCACTGGATGCCGGATTGGAGCCAGTGCAGGAAGTGACGATTGTAAAAACTTCTAGCAAGAAGTGGTTTGGGGATGGACTAAAGTGAGATTGAGCGAGGAACTGGGCCTGCCGCAAAACTACAAAGGAGAGAAAGGGGCTTGGAGCAAGGGGCGTGCAAGAAGGGACCCAGTGGTGGAGAGGCAATAAGTAAGTGGCCACAACTTTTAATTTTGAAGAGTCTTTGCAGTTTTCAGGGCATATATTTAATGGCAGACACTGCGAGAGCATCGAATTCTAGATCTCTGAAGGACCTTGAGATTTGTTTTATTCTGCTTTTCTGTGTTAGTAGTCGACTTAGACGTATTGTAATTCTGTCAGTTACTGTTATCACCTCACTCTTCTGATGTGCAATTCCTGAGTAAAAATGCCACAAGTATTTTTGAGAAATTAACTGAGGAGATGTCAGAAGTCATATTGATGGCAGAGAGGACAGCTGTAGTGCTCTCTTTCTCTCCCCGCCCCCTTTCCCTCCCTCTCCCTCGCTCTTGGCCTTGGACAGACTCCCCGGCGTTTCATCATGGACCAGTGGCCCATTGAAGTCACCAGTAACCCCCTTCCACTAATGTCCACCCAGCTGCCCTTGAGGTTCAGTGTCATCTGATGCAAACACTGGGACTGGTTGAAGTTCAAGGCCGGCTCCTCAGCCCGCATTCCTGGGGCAGGCGGGGCTCTGGAGGCCGTTGCTCTCAGCTTCAGCAAATGAGATTGTATCCTCAGCACTAGCTTCGGTGGTGTTCCTTTTCTGTTGATGGGCACCAGTATAATCATGAATAACCCGGTTAGTTTCTGGATGGGTGTGGAGGAAGAGGGAGTACTTATTTCATTACCTGTCCAGTGGAGACCAAAATCCCTCCATTTGGTCCATTTTTCTGCTTCCGAGGGATATGAATCTGTACCTTAGAATCGGGGCATCTAGGCCAAAGCCGTTCCCGTGGCAGGGACGGAAATGTCTGGGTTTTATCGTAAAAATTTTGAAAATCATGAAACTTTTTTGCATTTGACTCAGTCCTCTATCTGGGTTATTTTACATGGAAGTGTCTATTGAATTTTAGGTATTTGAGAAAATATCTACTTTCCAGACGGTTCATTTTGAAACAGAGTGTGAGAGATTCATTCTGATCCTTTATTTAGCCCATTTGTTTAAACCCGTTCCTGTCCAAAGAGAGATTTGAAGCGGCTTTAAAAGAGGGTCCTCTCAGGTAAATAGAATAGGTGAGGTGGTCTACCCAAACCCTTCTTCCCAGGAGGGGGATTTCTGCCAAGGACTTTAAGAGTTTCGGATGGTTGGGAAATTGCAAGTAGCTACTGGACCCAGAGACAAGTCTCTCCCGCATAGTGGGGAGTCGCGCAGTCATCCGATGACTGGGGATGAAAGTGGTCCCAATTCTGACTGTTCATTAGAATAATTGGAGAAACCTGCTAAAAAAAACCCACACTGATGAGCCCTACTGGACATTCTGACTTAGATGCTTCAGTGAGCTGAAGAGTCATTGAATTCCCTGGATGATTTTAAGTGAATTATTAGTCTATGAACCGCTGGAACAACTAATTGAATCCATCTTTTACAATGTCATCTCCAATAGAGGACCATTTGCCTTGGTTTAACATTATTTCCAGGGAGGTGTCATCTTCTATTTTGGGGCTAGCCCTAATTTTTTTAAATAACAAGCTTTATTGAAATAATTTATAGGCCGTATAAATCACCCGCTTCAAGCGTATGCGTTTTTTCTTTTCAGTGTATTCTTAGTGTTGCAACCCTTACCACAGTCACATTCTGAGCATTGTTGTCACTCCACGACAGGCGACTCATCCCCTCCCAGCCCCATTCATGCCTGCGCTAGACACCAACTCCTCTGCAGTTGGCCTCTGGATTGGTCTGTTCTGGGCCATGTGGTCTTTTGCGACTGCCATGCCCTGTCTCACAGACTGTTTTCAAAGTGGCGTGCCTCACGACTTCATTTGTCAACTGCCAAATAATCTTGTGTGCATATGCTGCATTTTATTTACGAACTGTCGGATTGATCGCTCCTTTCGCCTTTTCACATTTTGGCTATTTTAAATACCGCTAGAATGCGGATAGTGGAATTGCAGGATCAGAGGGTATGTTTTCATTTTTAGAAAGCACATTTAAATTTTTCCAGTTGAATATGTTTATTATTTATTGAGGGAATGTGGTTTATGGCAGTTTCCGTATCATTGTTTGACGCTTGTAGTGTAACCGCCCGCCTCCACCATCAATAACCCTCAATCACTGTCCCACATTTCCTCCCCCGACTTCCCCCTCTTTGCCTCCACCCTTGCAATCCCAAATAACTTTTTTTTTCTTTTTGGGTCACACCTGGCAGTGCACAGGGGTTACTCCTGGCGGTGCTCAGGAGACCATATGGGATGCTGGGAATTGAACCCAGGTCGGCCACGTGCAAGGCAAACGCCCTACCCGCGGTCCTATATCTCCAGCCCCCCAAATAACTTTTTTTTAAGTGTCTCAGGGTTTGTTTCCATTGGGGATTGTCTAATTCCTTGCTTTGTTTCTCTAGAGTTGGACATATGAGGGAGATCATCCAGTATTTCTCTTTTTCCTTTCGACTTACTCCACTTAGCATTCACTGCCTCCAATTCCATCTGGGTTGCAGCAGACTTTGTTCATAGCAGACTATTATTCCATTGTGTATTTGTGCCACACTTTTTTTTTCTTTTTGGTTCACACCCAGCAATGCTCAGGGGTTACTCCTGGCTTTGCACTCAGGAATCACTCCTGGCGGTGCTCAGGGGGACCATATAGGATGCTAGGGATCGAACCCAGATCAGCCGCGTGCAAGGCAAACGCCCTACCCACTGTGCTATCGCTAAGGCCCCTGTGTCACACTTTTATTATCCACTCATCCAATGGTGGATACATGGGATGTGTCCCTCTCCTTTGTCTTTCTCCCTCCCCATGACCCAGGGTCTGGTCTGAGATATGGGCTGCTTTGTGCTTTTATATGTCGAGATGCTGACGTTCAGGCCAAATGTATTGAAAGGACTACTTTCCTTCTTGATATTGTTGTTAAATTCAGTTGACTGGCAGTGTGAGGGTTTATTTCTGGATTCTCAGTTCTTTTACATTGATCTGTGTTTTAACCTCGTACCAGTGACCACGCTGACTTGAATGCCGTGACTTTAAAAAGTATTATTTCGGGATCACGGTTGCAGTAGTGTTAATGTTTATGGCTTTTGTGTATGGTCGTTTGGCCTTCATGCCACCAAAATGCTCAAGACCCTTCGCTGCCCTTATGTTACTTCTAGTCCAGGTCTTCCTTTCCCTCCTCCTTCCTTCCGCTGTTTGGTGATCTCAGTCCTGTAATGTAAGGCCAAGGGCTTGTCATTGTTAGATACTGTCTGTTCCCTAGTTTTGTTTCTCTGTGTGCCTCGGGTGAGGGTGAGCATCTGGTGTTTATCCTCCTCTCGGCGTTTCTCTTGTCATGAGCCCCTCCGGTTCCTTCCAAGTTGCAGCAAGCTAGAGGATCCTATGATCGTATCCTTTTTTTTTTTTTAGAGGCAAAACACTTTAATTCTTGTGATGAATTTGAAGTTGCT